CTAAATCTTTCACACTAAGTATCCCCCAGCTAATGTTGGGGAAGCTGAAATCCTCTACTATGATTACCCGGTTATGTTTACCCTTCTCTGAAATTTGCATACATATCGGTTCTTTATATCAGCTCTACATATTTCTCTTGGACTTTTAGGGAAGCTATGGTATACCCCCAGCAACATGATTTTTCTCTTTGGTTTTTTTAAGCTATACTCATTTGAGAAGCCATCTAAAATGTCATCCCTCCTTACCACTGTAAATTTAATTCCTAATCAATATTGCAAAACTCCCTCCTCTTTTACCTCCTTCCCCATCTTGCCTGAAGACCCTATATCCTGGAATACTGCCCTGCCAATCCTGTACCTTTCTCAAATATGTTTCAGTGATAGTAATTACCTTGCACCCTCATGTTCTAATTTGTGCCCTCAACTCATCTGCCTTGTTGATCAGACTTCCTGCATCAAAATAAGTACCATCCAACCTTGCCAAATACCCTTGTGCCTTAACAGGCTTATAATTTTTATACCTTCGACTCCATTGCTGTCTCTTTGAATTTTGGCTGTTCATCTCCCCTGCTGGATCTTCCCTCAGGATCCCACACCCCCTGCCAAATTAGTTTGAAACCCCCCAAAAGCACTAACAAGGTTGGTGGTCCCACTCCGGTTCAGATGTAACCCATCAGCCTTGTTCAGGTTCCATTTCTCCCAAAAACCTAAAGCCATCCCTCCAGCACTCTCTCTCCAACCAGTTTTTGCTTGTGGATTGGGCAAGATTGGCTGGGCCAGCATTTGTAGCCCATCCTTAGTTTTCCTTGAGGTGGAGATGATGAGTTGCTATTCTCAAGCTGCTTGAGTCTATTTTGATGTTAGTGGACCCACAATAACAGGAGGAGTTCCATGATTTCAGCCAGTGATAATGAAGGAATGGTGATACATTTCCAAACCAGGATGAGATTGGCGTGGCAGGTGATCTTGCAGGTGCTGGCGTTCCCACGTATCTACTGCCCTTGTCCTTCTTGAGGGTAATGGTCTTGGGTTTGGAAGATGCTGTCTAAGTAGCCTTGATGAATTTCCGCAATGCATCTTCTAGATAGTACACACTTCTGCTACTGTGTGTCGTGGTGGAAGGAGTGCATATTTACGCATATGGTGCCAGTCAAGTAGGCTGCTTTGTCCTGGATGATATCATGCTTCTTGAGTGTTGTTAGAGCTGCACTCATTCAGACAATTCAGGAGTATTCCACCACACTCTTGCCTTGTGTAGATGGTGGACATGCTTGAGAGATTCAAGAGGTGAGCTACTTGCTGCAGAACCCCAAGCTTCTGACCTGTTCTTGTAGCCACAGAATTTTTATGGTAGGTTTGCTTCACTTTCTGGTCGATAGTAAACTCCAGATGTTGATTGGGAAGGGATTCAGTGATGGTAATGTAGTGAGTATCAAGGGACAATGGTTAGGTTCTGTCTTGTTGCAGATGGTCATAGCCTGGCACTTGTGTGGCATGGATGTTACTTGCCAATTATCAGCCCAAGTATATATATTAACCAGGTCTTGCTGCATGTGGGCTTGGACTACATCAGTCTCTCAAATGGTGCTAAACATTGTGCAATCAATAAATATCCTCACTTCTGACCTTATGATAGAGAGAAGGTCATTAATGAAGCAATTGAAGATGGTTGGGCTAGGACTACCTTCAGGAACTCGTGGAGAGACGCCCTCGGGCTAAGATGACTGATCTCACAAAATTACAGCCACCTTCATTTGTGGCAGGTATGACTCTTATAAGTGGAGTTTTGTTAGAGCTCCTGATGCCACAGTCAAATGTGATCTTGATGCCAAGGGAAGTCACTCTCGTATCACCTCTGGAATTCAGCTCTTTTGAACCAAGGCTGTAATGAGGTCAGCAGCCGAATATCCCTGGCAGAAACCAACCTAAGCATCAGTGATCAGGTTATTGCTGAGCAAGTGCTCTCTTTGATAACACTGTTAAGGATACCTTCCATCACTTTACAGATGATCAGGAGTAGATTGACGGAGCAGTAATTGGCCAGGTTGGATTTGTCCTGTTTTTGTGTACAGGGCATACCTGCGCAACTTACCACATTTGCAGGTAGATGTTACTGTTGTAGCTTTATTGGAACAGCTTGGTTAGGAGTATGCGTCTTCAGCATTACTGCTAGAATGCTGTCAGAGCCCAGATTCTTTTCAGTATCCGATGCCTTCAGCCATTTCTTCATATTGCTTGGAGTGATGCAAATTGGCTAAACACTGGCATCTGTGACACTGGGGACTTTGGTAGAGGCCAAGATGGATCATCCACTTGGTACTTCTGACTGAAGATAGTTTTGAAAGCTTCAGCCTTGAATTCTGTCCTAATGTGCTAGGTTCCCCTGTTAAGAATGGGGCTACTTGTGGAGCCTCCTCGTCCAGTGAGTTGTTTGATTGTCCACCACGATTCGTGACTGAGGTAGACAAGAAGAGCTTCAATATAATAAAAGAAAGAACTTCAAATGGTCTAAGTTGTGAATTGCTTAGCCCTGCCTATCATTTGCTGCCTAAGCCATGTGGTATGTCAGTACTGCTGGTTTGCAGCCTCACCATGTTGACTTCTCATTTTTATGTATGAGTGGTGTTGCTCCTGGCATGCCCTCCTTCACACTTCATTGAACTCAACAGTTATATCATGTGTTTCTAATGCTCCTCTGAGCAGATAATATACAGTTGCAGATTAGCACATTATGTGGCAGTCATCTTAACTGCAGAATTCAAAAAGAGGAAGAAATGAGGAAGTAGACAATTGTAATTATGAAGAAGTGGCAATACACTTTTAAATGGTGAGGGTGAAATTAACAAGTTGTCAATTTGCTATGTTTGCTAATGTTATGCTTTGCAAAATTGATGTCTCTAGGTTCTCTTATAAATACAATGGATTATTCTTCCTCTAAATTTATGCAGTTACTTTGACACTTTCAATAAAGAACAGAATTTAACATATCCTGATCTTGAGGTCAATAATTTCAAAAAAAAAACAAGCGAATATCAAGATATATGTAAATTATAAACTGTCTTTGGCACTATACACAGTCAGTTGATAAATATATATTTTTAAACAGGCTAGAAGGCAGCAAAGTTGTGAAAGATACCTAATTCATAAAGCCACTTTGTGGCCAGACACAGCAAAATTGTGACATTTGATGAAGGAAAATTAAGACGCAAGTATGATACAGCAACTTACTGGGTAAACGTTGATAGAAAAGAAAGACCAAGAATTCTGACAGCAGGTATTAAATGTTGCGGACAAAAAGTGTCCAATTTATGCAAAACTTTTACTAACGTAACTGATACAGCCTAAGAGAAAGAAAGTAGTAACTTAATACTGCAAGGTATTACATATACGGGAATAAAACATGTTAAACTGGAGGACTGAAGCTTCAATACAATGTTGTACACGTGGATAATTACAAAATGAAACATGTGGGTGCTCATTCTGTAGAGTGTGAACAAAACACATGTCTGATAAAGCCAAAACCATCCTTGTCACAGTTTAGGCAACGATAATGGCTGAGGATTTAATCATGTTTTGAAAGTTAATTCTGATTTATTTAACATGTATGGTTTCATTCCTTTCCCAGGTCACTGGTGAGTAAATTTGAAATATCATAAAATGCAAATTAAACTGACAAATTTACAACTAAAAATAGACTCCAATGACAAGGGCAGCACTGCTGCCTCACAGCACCAGGCACCCAGGTTCGATTCCAGCCTCGAGTGACTGTGTGGAGTTTGCACATTCTCCCCGTATCTGCGTGGGTTTCCTTCGGGTGCTCCGGTTTCCTCCCACAGACCAAAAATGTGCAGGTTAGGTGGACTGACCGTGCTAAATTGCCCGTAGTGTTCAGGGATGTGTAGATTGGGAGGATTATAGGGGTATGGGTCTGGGGGGGATGCGCTGAGGGTCAGTGTGGACTTGTTGGGCCGAAGGGCCTGTTTCCTCACTGTGGGGATTCTATGACAACCGAACCACCTTTTCTGCTCAATCCTTTGGCAATGAAGGTAGTAGAAACATAGATTTCAAATAAATGCATACCTGAATTAATCATTATTTACAAATCCTGGACACACACATCTCTCTGCAAGTAGTTAGCTAAATTTGACTGCATCCCTTTTACAGTACATAAATATGATGATTACATTTTGCTTAATAGCAGAAAAGTTAGAATAAATTACAACAACGGATGTTGTGATTACCTTGAGTAACAACATTGTCCAACTTAAAGGAGCAAATTACTGCAGATGCTGGAATCTGTACTGAAAACAAGAAGTGCTGGAGATTACAGCAGGTCAGACAACATCCATGGAGAGAAAGCACGCTGATGTTTTAAGTCTAGATGACTCTTCATCAGAGCTGATGTGAAGTGTGGACGAGGCAGCATTTATACAGTTGTGGGGATGCGGGTGGGGTTGGTGAAGGTGAAGTGCTGGGGGAGAAAGGATGTTGTTAGTTCAGATTAAGTGATTGGAACTTGAGAATGGCAGAACAGCTTCACATTGTGAATCCACTCCCATTCCTTCCTTTCTTTTAGCTTTATTTGTTACATTTTCTGTCACCATGTCCTCTCTTTCTTGCCCCCACCCCACTGAGACTGTCCATTCTTTCTAGTCTGGCAGTTAAACACACCTTTGTTCTGCCATTCTCACATTCCAACCACTTAATCTGAACCATCAACATCCTTTCTCCCCCAGCACTCCAACATCCCCACTCTCATCCCCTCACTATTGCAGAAATGCTGCCTCCTCCACACTTCAGATCAGCTCCGATGAAAAGTCATCTAGACTCGAAACGTTAACATGCTTTCTCTCCATGAATGCTGCCTGACCCACTGTGATCTCCAGCATTTTTTGTTTTCAGTACATTGTCCAACTTATGTTTTAGCATAATATTAAAATTTTAAACTGACGTTAAATTTTTTTTTAAAAAGTTTCATTAATACTTGAAGTTTTACTCACCGCCATGTATGCATTTGTTCCCACATATGTTTTGGCTATTGAATTCACCAGCTACAAAAGAAATGGAGTTGTGATTTAAGTACAAGTTATCCATAAGATCTTGAAGAGTTTTTGCATCTTCAGATTCTTGTATCTAAAACAGTAATGATATTTTCATTAAATTATATCTTAATTGAAAAAAATGGGAAGGTCTAGGATGTAAGTAAAGTGATGTTACCATATGGCTAAGAGAGAGACAAATTGTGCTGGGTTTAACCTGAGGGTCATCATGCCTCAGGAGGGGGGCAAGGTTGAGATTCAATCTGCTCTGTAGGTGTCACTCTGCATCACAAACCAGCCGCTCAGCCAACCAATCAAATGTGGACAACTTCAACAACAACTTGCCTTTAACAAACATCCCAGGGTACTTTGTACAGAACACAGAACTGTACAGCACAGGAACTGGCCCTTTGGCTCATGATGTTGTGCCGAACATGATGCCAAATGAAACTAATCCCTTCTGCCTGCCATACCCCTCCATTCCTCCTTTATTCATGTGCTTATCTAAAAGTCCCTTAAATGCCCTTATCGTATCTGTCTCCACTACCACCCTGGCATTGTGTTCCAGACTCCTACTATTTTCTGTGTAGGAATCTTGCCCCTCACATCTCCTTCGAACTTTCCCCCTCTCACCTGAAATGCATGCCCCCAAGTATTAGACATTTTAACTCTGGGGAAAAGGGAAAATTCTGACTGTCAACCCTATCTATGCATCTCATAATTTTATAAACTTCAATCAAGTCTCCCCTTAGCCTTTGCTGCTCAAGAAAAACAACCTGAGCTTTTCTAGCCTCTCTGTATCCTCTAATCCAGGCAGCATCCTGGTAAACCTCTTCTGCATCCTCTCCAAAGCCTCCACCTCCTTCCAATAATGCGGTGACCAGGATTGAACACAATATTCTAAGTGTGGCCTAACCAAAGTCTTATAAAGTTACAACATGACATCCTGACTCTCGTACTCAATTCCCGAACCAATAAAGGCAAGCATGCCATACACCTTCTTTACCACCTGATCCACTTGCGTGGCCACTTTCCGGGAGCTATAGACTTGAACCCCAAGATCCTTCCGTACATCAATGCTGTTCAGAGTCCTGCCATTAATTGTATACTTTTCCTTAACATTTGATCTCCCAAAGTGCAGCCCCTCATACTTACCGAGATTAAACTCCATCTGCCTTTTCTCCACCCATATCTGCAACCGATCTATATCCCTCTGTATCCTTTGACAACTCCATCAATCTTTGGATCATCTGCAAACTTACAAACCCACTCATCTACATTTTCATCTAAGTTATTTACATATATCACAAACAGCAGAGGTTCCAGTACAGATCCCTGCAGAACACCATTAGTCACGGACCTCCAGCCTGAAAAACACCCTTCCACCACTACCCTCTGTCTTCTATGGACAAGTCAATTTTAAATCCATGTGGCCAAGTCACCATGGGTCCCATGCATCTTAATCTTCTGGATAAGCCTACCATGAGAGACCTTGTTGAAAGATTTACTAAATCCCATGTAAACAACATCCACAGCTCTACCCTCATCGATCACCTTCGTCACCTCCTTGAAAAATTCAATCAACTTAGCAAGACATGACCTGCCCTACACAAAGCCATGCTGACTGTCCCTAATTAGGCCATGCTTTTCCAAATGTGTGTAAATCCTATACCTAAGAATTCTCTCCAATAGGTTCCCAACCACCGTTGTGAGACTCATTGATCTATAGTTTCCTGGATTATCCCTATTTCCCTTCTTGAACAGAGGAACAACATTAGCTACTCGCCAGTCCTCTGGGACCTCTCCACGCTAGTGAGGATACAAAGATGTTGGTCAAGGCCCCAACAATCTCCTCTCTTAACAACCTGGGGTAGACACCATCAGGCCCTGGGGACTTATCCACCTTAATACTCTTCAAAGATGCAACACCAGCACTTTCTTAATCTCAAAATGCCCTAGCATATTGGCATGCTCCACACAAATCTCATTATCCTCCATTTCCTTTTCCTGGGTGAATACCAATGCAAAGTACTCATTTAGGATCTCACCTAGAAATAAATGTTACCACTGAAGAGTTGTATGATATAATTAAACAATCAAAGAAGCAAGTTTTAAAATCGAGAGAGAGTCTTTTAGCTTGAAAGCCTAAGAGGTCAAGGCAGCTTACAGTGCAGTAGAGGAGTTGGGAGTGAATATGAAGTGTTGGAGAAACTCAGCAGGTCAAGCAGCATCTGTGGAGAGAGAAACAGTTAACTTTAAGTCTGGTATAAGACTTCTTCAGAAATTGTTGTTGAGAAAAGTGTTGGAAATGGAGTTCTATCTCTATTCTTACATAAATTGTGGAATCACTAGAAGGACTAGCAAAGGCTAATGGAATAATTTGTATCTAGAGGATTGGAGAATAAGGATGGCAGAAATTATGCTGCAGCTATACAAAATGCTGGTTAGACCCTACTTGGAGTAGTATATGTAGATCTGGGCACCATACCTTAGGAAGGATACATTGGCCTTGAAAGGAGTACACTGTAGGTTTAACAAGAACCCCTGAAACCCAGGTATCATTAAGTTATGATGAAAGATTATACTAATTAGGCTGCTGTTCTCTAGAATTTACAAGGTTCAGGGGGAATCTGATCAAAGTCTTCAAGATAATAACAGGAAAAGGCAAGGTAGATCAACTATTTCCACTGGTTGGAGATTCTAGAACTAGGGGACATAGTATGAAAAATAGGAGCCAGATGGTTCATGAGAGATGTAAGGAAGCACTTCTATACATAAAAAGGGTGGTAAAGGTTTGGAACTTGCCTCCACAAACAGCAGTTGATTCGAGATCAGTTGTTAATTTTAAATCTGAGTCAACAAATCTTTGTTAACCAAAGGTATTAAAGCCTATGGGCTAAAGGTGGAGTTAAGCCACATATCAGCCATGCTCTCATTGAATGGTGTAACAGGCTCGAGGGGCTGAGTGGTCTACTCCTGTTCTTATGTGTTGCCCATCCCTAAATGCCCTTGAAGTGAGTGGCTTGCTAGGCCATTTCAGAGAAACAATCACATTACTATGAATCTGGAGTCATATGTAGGTCAGACAGAATTACAATGACTGTATTCCTTCCCTAAAAGGACATTAGTGAACTAAACGGGTTTTATTAATGATAGTTGTGATGTACACCATTATGAAGACTAGCTTTATGTTTCACAATTTATTATTTTAAATTTTACCAGCTGCTATGACAGTATTTAAACCTATACTACACTATTAGTAGTGGGGGAAACAGAGGTTGGAAGACATAAGAACTAGCAAACCAAGTTGGGTAAAGTGATACCAAGGAATTTGTTATAACTTGAATGGCTCAAATTTTATTTGAGTGGACGATTGCACAGGATCCTTTCTGAAATTTTCCTTCACCCTCTGCTTGAAAACTTTTGCTCTAAAAGTTTATTAAGTGTGAGATGATGATGGAACAACACGGACAATGAAACATCTGCAATTTTAGGAATTTCAACGGATCGACAGTTTATCTCCTTAACAAGTAAGATTTAAGGATTGAAAAATAAATTGAATAACAATAGAGGAAGAGAGTGAATTAAAATTAGTGAATTAGAAATAAATAGGTACTGAAAGAGAGAAAGAAAGATTTGATAAAGACTGAACACAAGGGACAGAAAGCAAAAGATGAGAAAATGAATTTAAAACTTGAAATATTTTAGTGTTCAAAATTAAATAAGATTGTGCAATGTTTGGCTTATGTAAAAATCAGCAGAGCAGCTGATTTGGGAACAAGAATGCAGAGGGGATAACAAAAATAGTTTTCATTTCTAAATGATATATTCAATTCAATGGTATTAATCCTCTGACTTTTGCCATTAACCCTTTTATTACTCGTCATCCCTGTGAGAGATGAAGTACTCAGTATGGTCAAGGTACTAAGCCTTGCAGCTAAGAAATTTGAAAATTTATTGACTTCAGACACTTGCACAAACTTAATGGAGTTTGGAAATTTTAACCAAGGCCATAGGAACAGGAGTCATTAAATCATATTGGTCTGACACTCAAAACATATTGTTGACATTACCTTTTTGGAATATTCCAATTTTCTGTTCCAAAGTTTTCCTACCCCAAAAGTTGCAACTGCAGATGCTTACTTATTCATGCATGTTTGTAACATCCCATTATTAACTGTCTATTCATTTTGCTATTCTTAACAAATTCCAAAAGTTCAAGTTCTTCATTTCTTTAATATCATGGCTTTGACAAACTTATTGACTAACACCATGTTCTCTCCCTCTCTATCTTCCCTCCTCCCCGTTTTCTCTCACAATATTATGATGGAAAAAGCCCCTGTCTTTTTAGATTTCTCAAGTATGGTTCTAGAAGATGTAAGTTATATTCAAGACTGGAATATAATCATCCTTCCTGACACTACCTTTAAAAAACCTGCAATCTGCACAAGGTATTTCCTCTCTGCAATGGCAATCCTGCAAGTAGTCAATGAGATACCATACCACCATTAACACAATTCTAAAAAGAAATATCACCAAAACTGTTATATTTATCCAGTAGGTAGAGGTCCGACACGATAACATACTTCTGACTTTCAACTGAATCTCAAATGGCTGTTGTAGCTAATCCATTAATGTTAAATCAAATCTGAAATTATTTGACTTGAAACAACAACACTGTTTTTCTCCCCATAGACGCTTCTAGCATCTGTAGTATCTGCTTTTATTGTAATCAATGAGAGATGTTAACCCATTTGCTTTATATTCACCTTCAACATGAATACTTTGTATTTATTTGTTCATTGGATGTGGGCATCACTGCCTAAGCTAACCTTTACTGCTTATCCCTAACTGCCCTTGCGAGCCATCTTCTTCAACAGCCACAGTCCTTAGGGTGTAAATGCACTCTCAGTGCTGTTGGGAAGGGAGTTCCAGATTTTGACTTGATTAATGTGAAGGAGTAACAACATAGTTTCAAGTCAAGATGGTGCATGCCTTTTATTTTGGCGGTGAGAGACTTGTACATGGTATTTTCATGTGCTTCTAGATAGCAGACATTGTGGGTTTTCAAGGATGCTTGTGAGTTATCTTGTAGGTCTTGAGTGCATCTTGTAGATGCTGCTATCCTTTGGGAAGGAGGTAATTTCCTAAATGTTGAAGGTGGTGTATAGGTGATGATCAAATGGTCTCCCTTGTCCTGGATGGTGTCAAGCTTCTTGAGTGTTGTGGAGCAGGTCTCCATAAATGGAGAGTATTCCATGACATTCTTGACTTGTGCCTTGTAGATAGTGAACAGCCTTTTGGGACACAAGAGATCAGTTGCTTACCACAGAATTCCTAGGCTCTGTCTTGCTCTTAGAGTCACAGTATTTATGTGGCTGGTTCAATTCCATTTTTGGTTAGAGATAACTTCCAAGATATTGATTGTGGGGATTCAGCAATGGCAATTCTACTGAATGCAAAGGGTAGATGGTTTGATACGTTCTTGTTGGAGATGGTGATTGCCTGGCACTTGTGTGGTACAACTATTTTCACCATGTATCAACCCAAGCTTGGATGTTGTCTTGTTGCATAGGTTATTTCAGTAAAGATGCTGAACATTGTGCAATCAACAAACATCCCTACTACTGACCTTTTAATGAAAGGAACACCATTGATGAAGCTTAAGATGGTTGGGCCTAGACCGAACTACCCTGAGGAAGTTCTGCAGTGATGTCCCAGACTGAAATGATTGACCTCCAACAACCACAACCATCTTTTTTTGGGGTAGGTATTAAACAGCTAATATTCAAATAGAAACCATATATTCACTGCATTGCATAGGATATATTACACAGAAGAAGGTTATTCAACACAACTGGCTCCCTGATGCTTATGTTCCACTTGAGTTTCTTCCGACCTTTCCATATCTAAAATTATATTTGTATACATTAACTCCTCTCCCTGTGTTGTCTAATTTCCACTTAAATGGAACTATACAGTTTACTTCTACGAATTTTCTACTATGGTAGAAAATTCCACATTCTCATGACTTTTTGCAAACAGAAGTTGCTTTTGAATTCCCCATTGCACTTCTTGGTGACTATCTTATATTGATGACATTTACATATGCTCTTTCTCCAAACAGGAAATGTTCTCTATGGATCCACTCTGTCCCAGTCTTTCAAAATTTTAGCAACCTCTATTAAACCACCTCTCTTTACCTCATTTTTTTCAAGAGAAAGGAGACCTAGCCTGTCAATCTTTTCATGATATGTATATGCACTCATGTCTGGTATTATTCTTGTAAATGGGTAATAGATAGCTTGTGTGAAAGCTGTGATTCCTCAATGACTTCCTTGAAGATCATCAGTCTGTCAAGGTTTTTGGCCTACAGCCTTTGTCAAGTGAAAGGCATGAACTTATATATGGTGCAGTAGAATTTTACTAACAGTTAAAGTAGGAAAATAGGTGGCTTTTGATTTAATATGCACATATTTCAATACTTTTAAAAAGTTTTTTGGAAGTCATAAGCAAATTGGTACAGGGTAAATAAGTCAAGAAGTTAAATATGTGACTCAAAATTGCTGCATGATGGATAGGTTTCAGTTCGTGGGGTAATGGCACCACTACTGGGGTAGAAGGGAGGTGTTCTGTTGGGACGGGCTTCACATGAAATGTGCTGGGACCAGTTTCCACGATTGGCACACATGGACCCTCAGATTGGCTGCACAGCTGCCCAGTTTATACGGAATGTTACTGATAAGTCCACTGGATCTGATGGGTTGCATCCTAGGATATTGAAAGGAATTAACTACAAAGAAAATGGATGCACTGGTAGCAATCTTCCAATAATCCTGAGTTTCTGGAAAAGTGCCGGAAGATTGGAAACCTGCTAATGTCAGACCCTTATTTAAAAAGGGAAGATTACAGGTTATTCCAGGCCAGTTAGCCTTTACGTCTGTCTCGGGGAAAATTATTGGCAAAATTTTTATTATAAAGAACGTAATAGCAGGGAATTTAGGAACACATGATACAATCAAGCACTGTGGTTGACTGGCAAATTTATTAGAATTCTTTCAGGAGATAACAAGCAAGATAGATAAAAGGAAACCAATCGATGTAATAGATTTGGATTTCCAAAAGGCATTTGATAAGTTTTGCATTTGCTTGCTAGCCCATGATGTTGGGAGTAGTGTATTAGCATCAAGAGAGGAATAGTTAACTAACAGAAGACAGAATTTAAACATTATTAAAAGGAGATTAAAAGTTAAAGCTTTTCACTCATCAGAATAGGATGCAAGAAACAGACTTGGAAAAAGGACACCATGTTGTATACAATGAGAATAGGGCGCTGATTGGATGGGCTATAACTGACAAGAAAATGCAGGATAAACTGTTAAAAGTTCTTAATTAACTAATGTCAATAATAGCTCAACCAATCAGGACCTTCTTCGCACTCAATATAAAATGGTGCCTTTTCTTTTCCAAATCTGTTTCTTGCACTCTCATTCTGAAGAGTACAAGACAAAAAGCTTCAACTTCTGATCTCTTTTCAGCAGTGTTTAATAAAAGACTGAGAGGCGGAATGGTGGGGGGGCATATTCAAGATAGTAACCTGCAACTAGTGGAGTGCCACAGGGATCAGTTATGTGGCCATAATTATTTACAACACATATATCTTGGATGATGGAAGTGAATAGACTATTGCCAAATTTATGGATGACACAAGAATAAGTGGGAAGGCAACTGGTACAGATGACACACAGAGTCTGCAGAGGAATGTCAAGCGAATGGGCAAAAACTTGACAGATGGAACATAATATGAAAAAGGAGTTTATACACTTTGGCAGGCAGAATAGAGGAGCTGAACATTATTTAAACACAGAACGACTGCAGATAGCTATAGCACAGAGGGATTTGGGGGTCATTGAGTATTAATGACATAAAGCTCATGTACAAGTTAAACAGTTGACATGAAAGGCAAATGGAATGTTCACATTTATTTCAAAAGGAATGGAGTATAAAATTACAGAAATCTTCCTGAAAGCAATAAAGGCAACAGTTGGACCACACCTACAATGTATGAACAGTTTTGCTCACTTATCTCAGGAAACATATACTGATATTAGAAGCAGCACAGCAAAGTTCATTAGGTTAATCCCAGGTATGGAGGTATTTTCTTATGAAGAGAATTTGATTAGGTTGGGCCACATTCCTATTTAGGAAGAATGACAGGAGACCTTATTTAAGCATATCAGATCCTTAGGGGGCTTAATAAGATAGAAGCTGAAGAGGTTGCTTCCCCTTGTGGGACAATCCAGACCCAGAGGCCACCATCTCAGGGTAAGAGGCCACCCAGTTTGAATAGATGTGGAGGTGCTGGTGTTGGACTGGGGTGGACAAAGTCCGATGTCACACAACACCAGGTTATAGTCCAACAGCTTTATGTGAAATCACAAGCTTTGAGCATTGCTCCTTCCTCAGGTTGGACCATAATCTGGTGTTGTGTGACTTCTAACAGTTAGAACAGAGATGAGGAGAATTTTTTTCCCTGCAGAGGGTAGTGAATCTGTGGAATTCTTTACTGCTGGGGGCTGTCGAATTTGGGACATTAAGTATCTCAAGGCTGAGACATACAGATTTAAAAATCTGTAAGGGAGTCAAGGATCATGGGTAAAAGTCAGGAAAGCGGAGCTGAGGATCATCAGATTAGCTATTATCAAGTCTGATCTCAGTTCAACTAGACGGGCTGAATCATCTACTTCTGCTCATCATCTTTTGGTCTTTTTAAATAAGAATTGTATGGAATTATGAAATGAATTACATCGATAAAATAGAAAACAGTTTCTTGACTTTAAAATCAGAATGGCTACAGATAAACTTACATCACTCCATTACAAAAGCTGCAATTGCTTATAACAAAGTCAGATTTTGGAACATCTAACAGTCTGAACAAAATTTTCTGTCACACGGGACCATCACACTGTCCTGACACAAGCTGTCTGCTTACACATTTGACAAAATGGAGAACATACAATGCACTAGGGAGAATAGACTTTGACAACTTTTAATATACCACTGACCTTCTTTTTCTTCAAATTCTTTGACTGAGAAAAAAGGGCGACTGCAATTCAAATCAACACCAAAGCAAGCTCACAGGTCACTACCACAAGTGTCTCAAGGGCCAAAAATGGAAATTAATTAAATTTTGTGCATCGCCTTGTAGATGCCTGCCACTATTGTTGATCTCCACATTAATTTTTATTGCAGGCCTCCATAGTTCCCCAGGCACGGCATGTGCTCTGCCCCCCTCATTGTCTGGCCAAACGTTTCAAATCAAATACGCATATCAATGACCTGTTCTATTTTTAAATAGTAATTACAATATCAGCAATTTTTCTGTCATTAAACAATGAACAATCATACTCTGATGAAAGAAAGTCACTCAGAGATTAAATGTGAATAGGTCTCTCCCTCAACAAGGGGCCTTTGTTGTGGGTTCCTTTGACTTACAGCCAGGTGATTTGAATAAAGACGTCCCCATGAGCATACCTGGGTGCTTACTCCAAAATCGCACAGCTTGACCTGTCCTCGTGTGTTCACTAGCATATTAGAGGGTTTGACATCTGCAAAGAACACAAATAGGAGATAGAAACAATCCCTTTTAAAGGCACCTCAGAATTTAATGATTCTGTAATTACAGCTATGACTCAGTAATGCAGAAGATGAAGGCAACACAAAGGCTATACAGATTAGAACGACAAGCTTTGCACCTGCTGCACACATTTATAACGCTCCTGAATAACACGTTTGAGAAAATGTTTTTCAAATAAGCTAGTATTCTCATTACAACATAGCCACTCAATCTACTTGTATGAAGTAGAAAAACTTGATTGGTGTTACAAGACAATTGACAAAACCAAGATGATTTTGTTCCTGTGTCATTTAAGAAGATGCACAATTTGTTAATGAATATTACAAAAAATCTCTGGTGGAACCAGAACTTCTGCACAACATCAGCTTAGCTAGTGTGCAATGCAGGAGACAGCTGTCAAGTATGACTTAGGAACTTTCAGCAGAGCATAATAAGCAAGTGTAACCAATCACTTAAATAAAAATACATTTGTAAATAAACAACTTTATGCATAGCTTTTGTTTTCTCTGTTGATTGTTTTTAAGCTGTCAGTGGGACATTACTGCCATCAGGAACTGGCTCAACAATGCAAAGCAACTGACATCAACAGTCATGAACCCTGGGTGCTTCATTTTCAACTGTGCATATTAATTTCTCTCTTTCACATGGTGGAGTTGAGGGACTTCTTTAAGCTCATCCCCTTGATGATGTAACTATCGCTCAGCATTCCAACAAAAGTATCCAACAACAGAAACAAACAAAGGATATTCAAGTTAATCGTAACTCTTTGCAACTGATTGTTGAGGGGAACGTCATTGTTGAGCATTGTTTCTGCTCATAATAAAATGCAAGCAATGTCAATTTTACTGTACAGTGATTACTGTGAATTAATTTTAAAATGACCAGTTCTTCCCCCTCATTATCGCAGTAGTAAATTGTTCCAGGCAATGCAGCACTGAGTGTTCCTAAAGCACAACTGCATATTACATTGTGACAGTGCACACCTCTATTTGTGTGGGAGTAAAAGAATAAAGAATAAAACATGCAGTGGATGCATGTAGCAAACCTTCAACACAAGTCAAGGGAAAATAATTAAATTCTGATAATTTCAAATCTACTACAGCAAGCCTCAGAACATTGAAATTGTTAGATAATGCAGCCCTAGTAAAATGCAGAGTTTATTCTTCAGTTGTATATTTACATCTTGCCCTGTTGCTGCAGCCAGCTTCTCTGTGACTATCCTCAAGGCAGCACAGATATTTAACAAACATTTTGGATAATATAGATTTTTTTTTAAAAAGTGGTCGCCATACAGACTTTTTTTGTGGGGGGGGGGGGATGGAGGGAATGAAAAATATGAATCTCCTGTAGCTGAGAGTATTGGTTAATTTTCCTAAACCTCTGCCAAAATCATGCAATCATCTGCAATAGCCAAGGGGTGATTTTTTTTAAATCCAATTCTCCCACCTCACTTGCTATGGGAAATTATCAGCCTTTGCTCAGCAATTCTCAACATTATTCCTAAATTATGCAGTTGGAACAGGAGACCTAACATGGATATGAAAATTGCAGATTTCATTGCTGAGGGGAACTGTTCAACTGCTACCTGATTTAACTGGGTACTTTATTATTTTGAAGCTTGACCTACCCCTTAACTGGATTACAGGAGTAAAAAAAATTAAGGTTTACTCAGAAAAAATTTCAAATTTGTCAACAAATGCTGCAGCAGTCACTTACATTTTATGCAAAACTAAAGGACAAGATAACTTCAATTAGAACAGAATCATATAAACTTCTGAAATCAAAACTTGATGGGGCCTTCCACTTGAGCTGTTAGAAAGCTGCTGACACCTTGGAGTCAGATAGGAGTTTAAGTCATCACTTACAATATAGAAAAGCAAGAAGGGCTAGAAAGTAAAATTTCATATCACTAATGTTTTCTTTCAGTGATGTAAAAGTGTTCTGCACTTGTGTATTTAAGTCTTTGAAATCATGAAACAATGACACCAATTCACTGCCACTGCTGAGATGTAATGTAACTATATTTGTGAGGCCATTCATGGATTGCATCATTTCCATTTCAGTAGGAATTCAATCTTAATTTGTTCATTTCTAGTTTTCAACATTTATTAAAGGGTTGGAAATGAAACAAGGACACAAAACTATAACACAAATATCAACATACACATATTGGAACTCTGAATGAACAGACAGAATCTAATGTACAAGCTTTTACTAATTAATCATGTAAAGATGACTCCACTTTGGTTTTGAGAGCTTGTAAATGTAGCTGGCGCCAGTTGATGGAGATGTGGCCAATATGTAAAGTTAGATCAATACCTGTTGGGTTTGGATTAATGGAGATGATCTGATAAATGAGATAAGTTCATTTCCACCAAAGTGTCCCAATTAATAGGCTTCAACTATGAAATGATGATTTGAAATAATGTCTGCACTTAACTGATCTCAGCCAGGGCAGAGGGTAGAGTCACTACTACTCACCACATTTCCCTGGGCAACAGAAAGTGGTTTGGGCAAGTACACGCTCAGATTGCTGTATCTTACTGCACATATGCCAAGTACTGACAGGATTAAGGTCATTGGTGTTGTCCTCCATAGTTAGACACTCACTGGTAAGATTCATATTTAAATAAAAACATTTGGATATGTTACAGGAAGACATCCTGTGCCTATTGGACTTCATGAGTGAAGAGATTACAGGACTAAAGGGAAGGGGAAAAGAACTGAGCAGAAACAGCTAACTTCTCAGTCATTGGAAACACCTGAATACAAATTTGAGCATCTGTGGCAAAAAGAAATATGATCTAACCTTCCATAATATCTTTGTAGAGTTCTATTTTCTATGTTGCTGACATCAATTTATTTTGCCACTCTGAGCTAAAAACTCAATTTTTTACTTTTCCTTTCACCAAATTAATAACTTTAGCCTTCTTGATTATTTGAGTAGAAAAGAAAACAAGGTATTATTTGTAAAATAAAAATCTAAACAAAGATATAACACACCTCTGTGCAAAATCTTTAGGCTCCAGAGGTAGGTAAGGCCTTTCACAACCTGCAGGATAAAAGTAGAAAAACATGCATTATAATTATTCCAATTATACTTTATAATCTGTTACGTTCCCACCATGAGCACCTGGCAATAACCATCTCCAATAAGAGAGTGTAACTGCTTCCCTAGTAAACAGAAACAGAAATTGCTAGACAAGCTCAGCAGGTCTGGCAATATCTGTGGAGAGAAATCAAAGTTAACATTTTGGGTCCAGGAAGGGTCACAGTACCTGAAACATTAATTCTGTTTCTCTCTCCACAGATGCTGCTAGAGCAGCTGAGCTTATCCAGCAATTTCTGGTTTCGTTTCTGATTTCAGGCATCTGCAGTTCTTTCAGTTTTTACTTCCACTGTAATCGAGTGACACTGCCATGATCAAATACCCCACCATCAACATCCTCAAAGTTACCATTCATTAGAGCCTTAACTGTACTTAAGTGTAAGCACAGCTACAACACAGTCAAGAAGCTTGACACCATCCAGGACAAGGTAGTGCACTTGAATGACACTCCACACAAACTTTAAACATTCACTCTCTCCATGGGCAGAGCACCAAGGCAGTAGTTATTATCTATCTTACCTACCAAGCAAATGCAATTCCCCGGAGTTCAAAGATTACTTCCTCATTTGCTGAATTTAGTACAATTAGTCAGTCACTTAATCTGTACATGGGACGCACCTCAATAATGTGCTGCATAATTTGTGTCATTTTGAAAATGTATAAGGAGTTCTAGTAAAACCCTGGTGATAAAGGTTGGCTGTGCAGGTGCCCTGACTTCTTTGAACCTTCATGACTGCAGCAAGTAGCATCGACCAGATGCACTGCAGTAATTCTCCAAGGCTTTTTTTTTTTTAACCAATATCTCCCAAATCTGAGACGTCTAACAGTAATAAGGACAACGACAGAAGACACATGGGAACACTTACAAGTTCCCTTCCAAGTCACACACCATCTGGCTTGGAAATACATTTGCGTTCCTTCACTGTCACTTGCCGATGGTACCCACATCCTATTGGCAAATTTCAAAAAACTTTGAAAAGTAAATGAATGCAAATTATACAGTACTGCCAAGAAACACTGAAGTGTTTTAATCAGACGATGATGCAGTAAAGCATTTTGTATCATAAAATCTCATTTGAAACAAAATATTTCTAAAATCCTTTTCAGTGATGGATCACATGCCATTGAACATTCTTCAGGTCACCATTCAAAAACAATTGCAGTTATTCTCCAAAAATCATGACAAAACCTGATTAAACTACAAATGACTCACAGGAAATGACTTGCACTCGTGTTAAGTAACTTTGTCTATTTCTGAAATATTTGTGCTTTTTACATGTTGCAGCAAGTCCTAGACTTCTGAGGCTGAATATTTCCTATTATCTTCCAGGATTCTAAATTCAAACACACTGAATTATTTCCTTAAATCCAGAGCAAGAGAATTATGAGGTGAGAAGATTCGACAAAACCGATCTAGTTACCACTGCAAAGAAGAAACATTTTCCGTCTTTGATGATCTGGGCTGAAAAATATATTTGCATTCTGTATTTCCAACTGTAAAATAACAAACCATTTCTTGAGAGATAGTAGGAGCTGCTGATGCTGGAGAATCTGAAATAACAAGGTGTAGAGCTGGATGAACACAGCAGGCTAGGCAGCGTCAGAGGAGCAGGAAAGCTGGCGTTATGGGTCTGGACCCTTCTTTAGAAATGGGGGAGGGGAAGAGGACTCTGAAATAAACAGAGAAGAGGGGGGAGGCGATGCTGGAAGGTGGATAAAGGAGCAGATTGGTGGAGAGAAGATGGACAGGTCAAGGAGGCGGGGATGGAACCAGTAAAGATGAGTGTAGGTGGGGAGTTGGGATGGAGATTGGTCAGTCGAGGGAAGACGGACAAGTCAAGGGGGCGGGGATGAGGCTGGGAGGTAGGGGGGGGGGGGGGTTGGTCAGGGAGGTGGGAGGAGCGGATAGGTGGGAGAAAAGACAGACAGGTCAAAGAGGCGGGAACGAGCTGGGCTGGTTTTGGGATGAGGTCGGGGGTGAGGAGAATTTGAAGCTTGTGAAGTCCACATTGAGAACATTGGGCTGCAGGGTTCCCAAGCGGAATATGAGGTGCCGTTCCTGTAACCTTTGGGTAGCATCGTTGTGGCACTGCAGGAGGCCCAGGATGGACATGTCGTCCAAGGAGTGGGAGTGGGAGTTGAAGTGGTTCGCAACTGAGAGGTGCAGTCGATTGTCACAAACTGAGTGTAGGTGTTCCACGAAGCGGTCTCCAAGCCTCCGCTTGGTTTCCCTGATGTAGAGGAAGACACATCGGGAACAGCGGATACAGTAGACCACATTAGCAGATGTGCAGGTGAACATCTGTTTAATGTGGAAGGTTTTCTTGGGGCCTGGGATGGGGGTGAGGGGGGAAGTGTTGGGGCAGGTGTAGCACTTCCTGTGGTTGCAGGGAAAAGTGCCAGGGGTGGTGGGGCTAGTGGGGAGTGTGGAGCGGACAAGGGAGTCACAGAGAGCGGTCCCTCTGGAACGCAGATAAGGGTGGGGAGGGAAAAATGTCCCTGGTAGTGGGGTCAGATTGCAGGTGGCGGGAGTGATGGAGGATGATGTGTTGAATCCGGAGGTTGGTGGGGTGGCACGTGAGGACTCTGTCTTTGTTGTTATTGCGGGCAGGGAGTGTGAGGGATGAGTTGCGGGAAACGCGAGAGATGCAGTTGAGGATGTTTTCGACCACTGTGGAGGGGAAATTGCGGTCCTTGAAAAACGAGGACATCTGGGATGTCTGGGAGTGGAACGCCTCATCTCGGGAGCAGATGCGAAGGAATTGGGAATAGGGGATGGCATTCTTGCAGGAAGGTGGATGAGAGGAGGTGTATTTTAGGTAGCTGTGGGAGTCGGTAGGCTTGAAATAGATATCGGTTTCCAGTTGGTTGCCAGAGATGGAACCAGAGAAGTCCCGGAAGGAGAGGTATTGAAGATGGTCCAGGTGAACTTAAGGTTGGGATGGAAGGTGTTAGTAAAGCGGATGAACTGTTGGAGCTCCTCGTGGGAGCACGAGGCGGCGCCGATACAGTCATCGATATAACGGAGGAAGAAGTGGGGGTGGTGGACCCCCTGGCACTTTTCCCTGCAACGGCAGGAAGTGCTACACCTACCCCTCCATCTCCCCCTCACCCCCATCCCAGGCCCAAGAAGACCTTCCACTTAAAACAGATGTTCACCTGCACATCTGCTAATGTGGTATACTGTATCCGCTGTTCCTGATCTGGTCTCTACATCGGGGAAACCAAGCGGAGGCTTGGAGACCGCTTTGTGGAACAACTACGCTCGGTTCGTGACAATCGACTGCACCTCCCAGTCGCGAACCACTTCAACTCCACCTCCTACTCCTTGGACGACGTGCCCATCCTGGTCCTCCTCCAGTGCCACAACAATGCCACCCGAAGGCTGCAGGAGCAGCACCTCATATCTCGCTTGGGAACCCTGCAGCCCAATGGTCTCAATGTGGACTTCACAAGCTTCAAAATCTCCCCACCCTCGACCTCATCCCAAAACCAGCCCAGCTCGTCCCCGCCTCCTTGATCTGTCTGTCTTTTCTTCCATCTATCCACTCCTCCCACCTCCCAGGCCAACTCCTACTCCCATCTCCTACCTACCAGCCTCATCTCCACCTCCTTGACCTGTCCGTCTTCCCTCGACTGACCAATCCCCATCCCAACTCAGCACCTACACTCACCTTTACTGGCTCCATCCCCGCCTCCTTGACTGCTCCTTTATCCACCTCCCATCATCGCCTCCCCCACCTCTCTATTTATTTTAGAGTCCCCTTCCCCTCCCCCATTTCTGAAGAAGAGTCCAGACCCGAAACATCAGCTTTCCTGCTCCTCTTATGCTGCCTGGCCTGCTGTGTTCAGCCAGCTCTACACCTTGTTATACCATTTCTTGATGAGTTAATAGTTCATGCTGAACCTCCAGCTTATTCGATGTTTCTTACAAGTGGGTAACTCTTTTAATTAAGCATCTTTTCCCTGTTGGTACGCATATATGACAAACTAAAACTAATATGAAGGCACAGTGCTATTAAATTTTCTCCAAAAAATTGTTAAATTTTCAAAAACTCTGAAAATTTGTTTTGCTAGATGCTTTAGATTGAAAAGCAGGGTTCCAGAAAGACAGATGCCCTCACAGCTGATTGGATTTATTACTGTATCACTGTATTAATACAGAAATGCTAATTCAAGATAAACATACCAACTGTGTCTGTGTCCTAAACCTCAAGAGACCTTTAGAAATGCTTGAAATGCCTGGTTGTATTTTGATTAATCCAGACCCTACTGAATAAACTGATACCGTATACAACCAACAAAGCAAATGATATCACACATTCTTTGAGGTTAACTAACGGTCAACTCACGTGGATTAAAATAACCTTGACCTAGCACCAGTAGAATCTAGTAAGCTTATGTGTGACATTGCATGGCCTTTATGCTTACATTTTACACACCTATTCTCTGGTTTGCACTGCTATTCTCTAGTTTAGAAACAGTAATTTCTCCCAAATTGAATTTTAAATATAAATACAAAATTGAAAAAAACCATCCGCTATCCATCTTGCACTTAACTGAAGGTTCCTGAAATGGTTAACAAAATTTGTAACAAAGTTCTTGAAATAATTCAACTCTGCAATTGTTTCATTGATGATAAATCAAGTTACATTGCACAAATTACTTTTTATAATCACAGATAAAATAACACCACATTGTTCACAACTTGTTTTGAGGAAAATTTACAATTTGACTGTCGTTTTCAAATGGATAACAATCAAAATTATTTTTCTGATAAACCAGTGTGGAGGTGGTAGTAATAATCACACTCCAAAGATGACTATAATGTAATTGCTGCTGCTCAGGTAAACCTGTCCCTCGATATTTTTCCTTTTAATTGAAAGGAGGGCTGGGATGACTTGAAGAATAGGCAAACTCAAAAAGTGAAGCAGGCGGCAAGA